ATAAAAGTATTTAAAAACATTTAAAAGGTTAATAAGGGGTATGAACTCACTTGTAGTGAGTGGTATGGATGAACTGATGAAACAGGATTGCTAGGTGTCAAGTGAAGTCTTGAACACACACAAGGATCCTAGTTAACATATAATATCACATATATGTATCCAGTTAGTCTTTAAACAACTAATAAACAAAGTTAAGACATCCTAGGACATGCTAAACACCTTATATAAGTGTTATAAGTCCCAAGGATTGCATCTAAGTGTTGTAGGACATTACTATTGAGTTTAGGGTTCAAGGAAACCCCCTTATATGAGTTTACGGTTTTGTGACCATCACTCATTGAGTTTACGGTCGTAAACTCATGCTTCTTTGACCATGTGTTGTTATGAAGCTCAACAAGTCCTTAGAAGCATTTCCACTTGAAGTATAAGCCTGTGGAAGGGATTAGGGCACCATTTCAATCCTAAATGGAGTTTACGGTCCTTAGACCATTTTCCTTTGGGTTTACGGTCGTAAACCCCTATGGTTAATGGTATTTTGATGTTTTCAAGTGCTAAGCTCATCAAGGAAAGGATCTATGCTAGTTTCCAAGGCTTAGAAGGGACTAGGGCACACTTTGGCACCCTTTTTAGGGTTTACGGTTCAAGAACATCTTGGACCGTAAACACCTTGTTCTTGGTGATTCTTGGGTGATTTCTTGATATATGGAAGTGTAACAAGTCTTAAGACACTCTAGGATAGAAGTACTTACATGATAGAGGCTTGAAAAGGTTCTAAAAGTCCAAGAACACTAGTGTGTGTTCTGGGTGAAACTTGAAGATCTAACCTTTTGGAATGATTACGGATGGAAGTGTGTTAGATCACTAGATTAAGTAATATATCAACTTAATAAGGCTAGAAACACTTACAAGTTGAAGATCAAGGAGGAAAAGTCAGATGCTACTTGAGAGGATTTGAGTTCTAGCTTCGAAATGGTGAAAAAGTGTGAAAAATGGCTAAGTGCCATATATATAGTCACTAGGGTTTACGGTCCAAATACCATTTGGGCCGTAAACTCCAAACTCTTCAAGTTTTTAGAACTCTATTGTTGCATAATAAACCCTAGGGCATCCTCTCTCCTAGTATCTCCCGAATTACTAACTTAAAATGACTCAAACTTATTCCAAAAAGCTTGAAAGTTAGCAGAAAGTGTTCTGACTTCTATTGAGTTGAAATGTTGTACATAATAGAAATTTCGGGTTATCACACTCCACCTCACTATCAGGCTCCCTTTGAACTTCACTGTCACTATCACTTTCCACATTAAGTTCTTGAACCAATTTAACCTTCACTTTACCTGTTATGAAATAAATCAAATGTTAGCATTAGAAGTTGTTATATTGTAATCAAAAGGTAAAGGAAGAGAAATACTTTCTTTTTTGACTTTTTTTATTTTTTTGACTTTTTTAATTTTTGACTTTGGCTTTGGCTTTGGATTAGATGATTCCCCAATTGGTTTTTGAGGACCTTTTTGAGACTGTATGCTTATTGCCCTTTAGTTCATTCTCAATCTGATCCCTTTTCCTTTTTGTTGATGGTCTTCCTGGAATCCTTCTCTTTTTGGGAGGCAGTGACTTGATGTAATCCACATCAGGCCACATATCACTACCATTTAGTGGCTTAATGGTGTACATGTAGGCATTACAAAACATTGTTGTGGTCAACCATGGTGATACATAGTCCTATGGATCCCTATTGAGGTTTGAAATGGCAGCATATGCATGCACACAAGGGTAACCAGTTAATTGCCAACCTTTACATCCATATGTCTTCTTACCAAGGTCTACAACATATGCATCATATAAAAGTCTCACTTCAAATTGTTGATAACCAGATGGTACAACTCTCCAAAATCTATCCATACACACTTAAATGTAAGTATACACAATTGAATGTCACACATATATATAAAAGGTATTCAAGCACTAACCTTTGAAGTTGCTTAATCTTGGATAATTTCAGTCTAATGGTAGGACATATGCTTAAGTCTCCCCAAGAACTTCCCTTACTTTTTTGTCTACAAAGCCTCTCCATCACATAAATTCTAATTTCCTCTAACATAGTGATTAGAGGTCTCTTCTTGGTAGCTCCAATGATTAAGTTAAAACTCTCAGATACACCATTTTCATATGCATCACATGCCCTATCAGTCTGAAAGAATGCTTTACTCCAAGTTTTAGGATCCCTCTCCATTAGATGATCATAGGCAAGTGGTTCTATCTTCTTGAGTTTATTCATATGTTGCTCAAATTTAGCCTGGGTAGTAGAAGCAGCAACATACCAAAAAAGTTTACTGAACTGTTGACCCTTGAATTTTTTCAAGAAGTTAGCACATATGTGTCTGGCACATTGTCTATGCTCTGCTGCAGGCACCCTTTCCTTGGCATCCTCAAGTAATCCCTGTTAGCATTACAAACAAAACATAAATTTCAAATAAATTAAGTATTAAATAAAGAGAGCATATAAAATCATTAATTTGTGTTGGTCTGATATTAATGTCAACCCATGTCCATTTCCCATTCCAATGTCATCAAGGAGAAGTTAAACAAACCACTTCCATGTTTCCTTACTCTCCACTGCAACCACAGCCCAAGCAAGAGGGTAGATATGGTTGTTTTCATCCCTACCTACAACAGAAAGCAACTGACCTCTGCAAACACCTTTTAAGAAGCAACCATCTAGTCCAATTACCAATCTACAACCTTTAATCCATCCATCCTTCACACCCTTTAAACATACATAGAACTTTGAGAAGTAAGTGTGTAACATCCGAAAAATACAACCAATTTAAATTTTTCAAAACCACCCGATTTTCATTAAAATATTTACAAAAGGTTTTCAATACAATTCATTTAGAGTGTTTCCAGGATCACGTTACTACAAAATCATGAGGAGCGGTACGGTCACGCCTTCGCCTTGCCACAGTCTCCTGAAGAACCTGAAAACATTAAACCACAACTGTAAGCCCGAAAGCTTAGTGAGATACCCCCAAAATACCAACCATGAATACGCCCTTCCAGGCTGCGACCTTCCGGTCCAAAAAATATAAAGCATACATAACATAACAGAACATAGAACAGCCATGCATATCGGGTCTACTGTGTGACTGGTCCGCCGTATCGGGCCTTCAGTCCACCGAATCCATCCTCCAGGTCTAGTCATGTCCTTCGAGTCTACAGTAGGGTTGGTCCGTCCGCATCGGGCCTTCAACCCACCTGGTCCACTCTCTGAGTCTACAGTGTGACTGGTCCGCCCGCATCGGGCCTTCAGTCGGCCTGGTCCACTCTCCGAGCCTCGGCACGTCTGGTCCGCCCTCGTGGGGCCTACAGCCTATCCGGACCGCTCGCTGGGCCTTCGGAACAACCGGTCCGCCCTGGGTATCTTGGCCTACAGCACAAAGCAGGATCCGCCTCAACCCATCTCCAGTCCAAACAACCATGTGCACAAAACATACATTCATATAACAGTCATAGTCAACAAACTGAGCAAGCAGATCACATAGCATATCATTACTCTAGCCGAGTTACCGACCTAACCGGTCACTAGCATAGCATCACTCTGTATATCGGGAACTGACCTAAGCAAGGCCTCCTAGCATGTACCATCCTAGCTACCAGGATGCAGACACGTCAAACAATAACATAATAACCATAACCGAATTTCAATACAATAAAGGGCCGGCCTTGGTGCCTTAGACCCTGTTGATATAGTGAGGATAACTCACCTCGAAACTGTCAGCTGAAAGGATAAGATCCCGCTGCTCCGAACTCTGACACGAACTCCTCCATTGAACATCAAAACATACAACTCAATAAATACCCTTGATTACCAAAATACCCCTCGAAGACAACTGGCCAACCTTGGACAAGTCAAAGTCAACCCTTGACTGACCCTACTCGCCGAGTCAACCCGATGACTCGCCGAGTCCATATGCTCAGAACTTCCTTCAATCAACGACCCAACTCGCCGAGTCACCCCAAGACTCGTCGAGTCCAACAACTCTGAGTCCACTCTCACCCAAATCACCGAGTCACCCCTTGACTCACCGATTCATCGACTCAACCAGAAATATTGGGACTTCCTCGACAAGACTCGCCGAGTCCAAATGGACTCGTCGAGTCCAAGGCTATCTTCAACCTACTCGCCGAGTTGTTCTTCCAACTCATCGAGTTCCAGGCCATCTTCAAGCAACTCGTCGAGTCCACCCATGTGACTCGTCGAGTACCACTGGTCTGAATCCATACAGAAGCATCTCAGGCCATGCAATTGATCCAAAACATAGATCCAACCTCCTACAATCCATCCATCACGTAAAGTGGCAAACTTTACGTGAATCTAACGAGATCTAAGCCATATTCACCTTAAAACCAAGGTTTGGGACATGATAGCTTCATTAACAACACAAGAACAGGGGATTTAATGCTCTTAAGGTCTTCTCCACTCCAGATCTGAGGTAGCAACCTCAGATCCATCCTCCAACATCAAAATGTCACACAACCAAGCACCTCACACAACCCCAAAATGTGAAACTAGGAAGATACAGCCCAAGAACGAAAGTATTACCTCCAAAAGATGCCTCAATAGCAACCAAACTCGTATCCAAGCAAAGCCCTTTGATCCAAGCCACTTCTCCTTCAAGATCTCTTCAAACAACACCTCTCCAAGCTCTAATTTGCTCCACAAATGAACTCTCCACGAATTTAGGGTTTCTGGAACTCAAGGGGGGAATAAGGGAGGCTGTGGAGGGGTGTAATGCTCTTTATATAGGGCTCAACCCCGAAAATTAGGGTTTTCTCCATACAGCACCTACTCGCCGAGTCCATCTTTGGACTCGCCGAGTAGGCCACTAGACACGCGACCATAGCCGCGACTTGACTCGCCGAGTTTATCCATGGACTCGCCGAGTCACCCTCTAAAACTTACACTTTTAGCCCTTCAACTCTACTCTTGGGATTCCGGGATGTTACAAAGTGGCTCCATCAGGCATGACATCTACATCCATCTTCACTGTTGATCCAGGGTTGGTTTTTCTTAGCTCTTCTCCATAGCTCCAAGTTTTAGCATAGTGTTCCTTTAAATTACCCTCTATCTCATTAAATGCATACCTCCTAGCATTTCTACACTGTCCCACACTTGCAATCAAATTAAATGTCTCGCTAACTTTAGCCTTCAATTTCCTCACACTCATCTTTGGTTTCTGGAGTATCTCATTCATGAAATGATTCCCCATCCATTTATAGCTAATAATGGACCCAAATTTGAAGACTCTTGAGCAATTATGGTTATCAATTAAAGATTTAATCTAGAATGACCTTTCATTGCTCATCCAGGTTGCCCACAACCTAAAGGGACAACCTTTATTCTTCTTGTTCTTCTTACCTTTACAACATTTCACCAGTAACCTGTTATGATCACTTTTTTCATACCACAAATCATACCCATTCTTCACCGCATAATTAGTTATACATAGATTCAATTGCATTGGGTTAGCAAACTTCATACCTAGAATTGGCACCATCTTATCACATTCTTGATTCTCATCATGGACAGGGAATACAACCTTATCATCTTTTCCATCATTATGTTCATCATCATTACTAATCTTACCAATAACTGAAAGTTTGTTTAAAAAATTATCACCAACAGTTTTGTTAAAGGTATGGACTTCTTCATCAACTTCATGCTCATATGCGATAATATCATCCAAGTTATCATCTTCATCACTGTCATCCTCTTCTTCCTTGTGATCATCTTCTTCATTGTCATCCTCTTCTTCGTTGCCATCTGATAACACCTCATTATCAGCCCAATCAAGGATTGGATCATTTTGGTGGTCAATGTAGACATCCAACTAAGCTTCAGGAGTATAAGTAGCTTCAACAAACTCTAATAATCAACATCACTGTCGATTCTTATAATACCCTCACCCAACGTTTCCTTTCTACTACAGTAGTACACATTATCACAACTTCCATTGGTTAAATTCCTAAGCCACAAAAGAAACTCTTTGTATGTAAATCCTCCAAAATCGACATCACGCACTGTTATTACTCGAATGGCTCCTATGATTTAAATTTCTTTCGTAGTTGATCCCTTAACAACTATGGTTTAAATTATATGACCAAAATTGTCACATTTCTGAAACTTTGGGGACCGAAGTCTAACATTTTAATCATCTTCCTTAGTGGTTGTTGTAGTTATTTCAACAAAATTTGTTATTACCGGACTAGTAATCATCAAAATTCGATACAACAAGAAGATGAATGCTCCGAGTGAAGATCCCGATGAAATCTCTGAAGAAGATCATTTCTTAGAGAACATATATGGAATGTCTGTTTGTTTCACCTATAAAGATCTTCAAGAAGCAACGAGTGATTTCACTACAAAGCTAGGTCATGGCGGATTCGGTTCAGTCTACCAGGGTGTCCTAAAAGATGGAACTCAACTCGTGGTCAAGCGACTAGAAGTGCTCGGGCAGGGGAAGAAGGAGTTTCAGGCAGAAGGGAGCATAATCGGAAGTATCCATCACCACCATTTGGTAAAACTCAAAGGATTTTGTTCACAATCAAAGTATCGTCTTCTTTATTTACGAGTATATGGAAAACAGATCATTAGATCGATGAATTTTTGGCGAGTTTTAGCTCGATTTTGAAACGAGATAAAATATCGCAATCGGAACAGCGAAAGGATTAACGTATCTTCACGAAGATTGCATCGTGAAGATCATTCATTGCGATATAAAACCAGAAAATGTCTTATTAGACGAAAATTTCCAATCAAAAGTTTCAGAAGGTAAAGTTGAGATCCTGTTGGATGAGAAGGATGAGCGAGTGGTGGTGGCGATTTGGGTGGCGTTGTGGTGTATATAGGATGATATGAATTTAACGCCTTCGATCCTAAAATTTGGGATAGTGTGTTTCCTAGTAATTTTGGGTTAACTCAATTAACTTCCACCTTTGACAAAATTGGTCCTTATCTTACTCTCTCTGTATATGCTTTTCACAAACAAATAATATTTCTTCGTTTCCAATGATCATAATAACTTACACACTTTCAACCTCAATAACATCCAACTAAATCTCATTCTCATTATATTAATTATTTTCATATATTTATTATATCAAACTAATATTTTTCCAACCAAAATATATTCTCTTAGTGTACACAATACATACTCAATTCCAAGGATAAACCATTCAAAACATCATATACACAACATTTACAACACATAATAGCAAATAAAAAAAAGTCACTTTTTTATCATATGTGAACCAAATCAAACTAAAGTCATTATTTAAGACAATATTTGAACAACAAATTGATAAGATACTTGGTTTGTTGTATTGAAGAGTTAGATATATAAACCGTTTAAGAAACATAATTCATTCAAATCCTTACAATTTTTTGAGCAAACAAACAAGAAAATTTGCTCTTTTTTATACAAATATGAGACTTGCGAGTTGCACATTGTTTGTTCTCCATTTTTTTAATGCTTAAATAAAAAGCAATTTCATTTTCTTTTTTTAAACTTTATCATCATGGAACCACCATCTAGTCTCTTTAGGAGATCTACCATTTCTACAGTTCTTCACATAGCGGTCATTATCTTCAGGGCGTTCCTGCAACCACAAGGGTAAAATGGTCATTTACTCACGTTAAACAAACTTTGTGTATACATCGTATAATGTAATTTGAAAGAATGAGTTAGGATTTCCCATATTGCATTGGTGTGTGTGCTAATTAGGTTCGTTTGTAAATTTTTTTAATAGAAGGGTAAAATGGTCATTTACTCACATTCAGAGAGTTTATACGTAAAAGAGAAACAAACTTTGTGTATACATACAAAAACATAATTTGAAAGTTCAATTTTATTTCTTTTCAAATGGGACGTGATAATCACGTATGTTTGTATTTGTTTTTGAATAGAAAGGGTAAAATGGTCATTTACTCACATTCAGAGAGTTTATACGGAAAAAAAAGAAACAAACTTTGTGTATACATACAAAAACATAATTTGAAAATTCAGTTTTGTTTCTTTTCAAATGGGACGTGATAATTGCGTATGTTTGTATTTGTTTTTGAACAAAAAGGGTAAAATGGTCATTTACTCACATTCAAATAGTTCATTCGAAAAAACAAAAGAAACAGGCTTTTTGTACAATTCACTATAGCATATCATTTTTCTATTTCAAGATGTTCAAGGAAATTGTAATATTTCCTTATTTAGCAAGTTTTAAAACCAAATCTATTTATACATTACAACATAATATTGTCATGAAGGGTTTTTTGGACTTTTTGTCTTTTTAGCATTAAATGAAAAACAAAAATCTTCCAATTACATCATTCCACTTTAGAAAATCCACCCAATTAAGTAGATTTTCAAAGTAGAATGTCTTGATATGAAAAACAAAAACTGAAACTAGAAAAAAGAAACGAAAGTAACATGAAATAAATTATAATAAATAAATAAATTTTAAGAGAGAATGAAACCTTGGCTGGTGAACTTGATAGCATGGAGAGAATGCTGATGCAGATAGAGCCAACAGTCATGGCTGGTGACCATGAATCATATAGAATATCTACAAAATAAATAAACCGATAAAAAATATTTATAAATCAAAAATAAAAATATAAACTTTTCAAGAATATAGAAAAAGAAGAGCTTATGAAAGTTTACATACCTAAACAAATATGCCCATTGCTGTAGATGTGAGGATGAAGAGGAGCAGGATGCAAAAATATCACCTGAGTCATTTCATCGAACAGATTGTAAGCAACAAGTGAAAAGGTATGATGAATTGATGATAAAGATACTTAGCATATAGAAATTGAATTCATTGTTTAATGTTTGTTTAATGTTTATCCACCTGAGGTGCTTCCATGGGATAATTCTCGGGAAAATCAACTTGGAGTTGGTATTTTTCATTAGCATAGATAGTTCCTTGAGCTCCATACACTTCAATCACCCACCTGTAAACAACGAATGTAAAAAAAACATCACGATTCATTCAGGAGTTTCACGAATTGTATGAGGAGTCGTAAAATTTGAAGTATCTGAATTTCAGAAAACCCTAGATTGGAAAGGACTGAAGTGATTTAATCTCAGAAGAGGGAGATCAGTATTCTCGTTGATCTCTTTTTGAGAAATTGTAATTGGGGAAAACGGTGAAATTGGAAATAGACAACGAAATAAACAGAATTTGAGAATGAAAATTTGAGAAACCGTTGAAGATTGTCGGTGACTTTGTGTGTAAATCCAGAGTGAGGATTGATCTGCCACTCCGTCAGCTCCTTTTGAAGTCTGTTGGTAGCAATTTTGCTTAGAACCTAATCAATCGAGATCAAACTACTCAAAAGATGATAATAATCAACAGATATACACGCAATCAATCGAAATCGAAGTGTTTGAAAAATTAATCAAGGCGTATAGACAAAGGTATATGTATGTATACATACGAATAGTGATAGAGATGTATACATAGAGAGGGAGGAGGAAATACCTTGCGAGAGGAAACGGAGGAACCGGTCATAGCGGCGGAGAATGGCGGAGATATGGGGAAGGGCACACTGCCTTTGTAGGTGTAGACCGGAGGAATCCAACATGCTTTCTCCTTTTAACTATTTTATACCGTATATTTTATGTATATTTTATTTTATTTTATTGGGTTATTGTCTTAATCCAATAAATGTTTAGTATATTGGTTTAAAAGGTTCATTATAATTATTTTTTGTATTTTAAGGGCATGAAGTTATGTTTTACCGTTTTAAAAGGTACCTTTATCTAGTTTATGAGGTAACCCCGCCTCGTCATATGCCAACTAAGCTTACGAGTCAACACATACTCGTTAGTGAGTCCACACGGTGCCACATCTACATGGATTAATTAGAGGAATTTACTTTCAACGACCCCCAACCACCCATAGAGCCCACGTAATCATTAGTTGTGGTGGGTATATTAATACTCGATAACCTCATGTAGGGTTTTAATCAAACCAAATCAAACACCTCTTTACCATTTTAAGCCAAAAATACATCCGACAAGAAACCCTAAATCACCCACCATGTCGGCTCCACCACCTTTCCCAGACTCCTTAAATTCATATGAGTGTCTCAACGAGAATGACATCCATTCCATTTTATATGACTGTGGCGAGAAAGTTATAGGGAACCAAAGTGAGATGCATCGTTTGAAGGAGCAACTAGGTCAAGACTTTATCATCTGTAGTGTCAACCACATTAGTCTCCAACATTGTCACAACTAGTAAATTAAGGTTAAGATTTTGGTTCTTGTGCGAGACAATCCCTCCATGTAAACCTGTAATAACCCATTTAGTGAGATTCAAACTTCAATGCTATTAAGATTCTACTTTCATACATTATCATTTAGGTCGAAACAACATCAGATAAGCCGAAACTCAATCCAATAAGCCAATTCCACTCAACTTTGAGCCTTAGCCCAAGAGTTGTCATTCCAAACCACTTATTGGACCAAAACTCTCTTATTGGGCCCTAATGGGCCGATAACTTCTCCAATTGGTCTTTTAGGCCTAAAATCACCTTTTGGGCCCTATTGGGCCAAAAGTCCCTTGATTTAATTTTCATTGCGCTGAAAACCCCTAAAATTGGGCCAATACCCTTCCTAGAACATTATTGGGCTGAAAACTCGTAGGACCAACTCAAGATCGAAGTCCACAAACATTTTTGGGCCAACCTTGGGTCAAGACCCCCCCCCCCTCTGGGCGGTTAGGGTTTGGTTAAACAAAAAAAAGAAGAAAAATGGGAGGAGTTACCTAGAGTTGCCACCTCAATATTACATGGCATACATCCATGCAAGTGACTAACATGCATCTAGGAAGAATAGCTTTTGTCCAACATATTCCCATGCACCACCACCCCCTCTCTTTCTTTAAAACTCGACAGAGCACCCCCCCTTTCCCCCCTCACCACTTTCATTCAACTACTTCTTCCATTCCACTCTATCTCAAGTGTTCCTTACTCCCTCAAGAATTTTTGAGTTCATCATCAACAAGGATCAATTACTAAGCTTCTTGGTAAGTCCATAGTAAACTTAAGGTGTTTTACTTCAATTTTATACTAAGATCATTCTTCTTACAACCTCATTTTCATGTATATGGCCCCTAGAACACCTACACTTCGAGATTTTCACCAATAACACAAGCTAGATTCAAAGTCTTCTTCATCTTCTTCAAAATATCAAAAATCCCCAATGTGAGATTCATACCCCACTATTTTTCATTTTTTCATACTCTTTGGGGGGAATACAAGTCAAAGTTTTGGTTAACCATTGGATAATTGCATGGACCATTGTGTTGTGTGTTTAACTTTTGGGTTTTTACTTGAACATGAAGTTTATTACATAGATCTTCATGAAATCATAAGATATGTGTTGTTAACATATATATATATATATATATATATATATATATATATATATATATATATATATATATATATATATATATATATATATATTACTTGAAAAACTAGAAATATGGGGTTATACACTCCAAAAGTAGCAAAAATGAGTCTTGTGTGCACACATATATAGCATAAACCTAATTCCCAGCCTTCCTTAGAAAAGTTATAGTCCATTTACGGACTGTTTTGACCACCTTTAATGTAATATTTTTC